AGCACACTTCTGCAATCTAACACAAATACACCCCTGCATTCAAACTCCAAAAAAATATACAAACACACCCCTTCACTCAAACACAAGTACTTCACACAAATGTACATGCCCCCACCCTCAGGGACCCCCTCCCGCCCGGCTCTGGAAGGGGGAAAGGGTTAAAAACTTACCTTTTTCCAGCGCTGGGCGGGGAGCTCTCCTTCTTCTCTCCTCCTCTGATCCTCCTCCTGGGCTGAATGCGCACGCGCGGCAAGAGCTGCGCGCGCATTCAGCCCGTCGCATAGGAAAGCATTTACAATGCTTTCCTATGGACGCTTGCGTGCTCTCACTGTGAAAATCACAGTGAGAAGCACGCAAGCGCCTCTAGTGGCTGTCAATGAGACAGCCACTAGAGGATTAGGGGGAAGGCTTAACTCATTCATAAACATAGCAGTTTCTCTGAAACTGCTATGTTTATTAAAAAATGGGTTAACCCTAGAAGGACCTGGCACCCAGACCACTTCATTAAGCTGAAGTGGTCTGGGTGCCTAGAGTGGTCCTTTAAGGGCACCTTGAACCTAAAAGGTTTGGGAACCACTGGTCTATATCTGCTTCGGTTTGAATAGCTGTCAGTTGGTGTGAGGTTACATATTACTCATTGTGTGTCAGATACCAGTTTGGTTTGGGATATTACTACATTGTAACAGTACGTCCGTTATAGGTTCCATCTCGCTGGAGAATACAGCGCTGAAGTGATATAGCCTTTTCCCCAAACAGTAGGTGACACTTGGTGAAAGGTAAAACACTTTATTGTCACAAAACACACATATTGTGACTGGCTGGGTCCACTGTGTCTGGGAGAAAACCAGACCAATTACTGCTAATCTAATTAGCTTCCAAAAAACAGGGCACCTTAACTTAATATCCTGAAAAACACACATTCATACATTAACAAACCCCACACATTCTCTGATTAATCTTGAACTTTTATTATATAATTTTACAGAATACTATGAGTAAACGTCTTATTACTCTATATTGTTATGTTGATAACTTGCTGTCCGTAGTAGATTATATGAATGAGTTATTCCCTGAATGTTGATCGTTTACAGCAAATGGTGGAAACACAAGTGTCTTATGGCAAACAGGACATTTTGCAAGTCCTTCCTACAAAGGATGTGAATGTATGTAATAAAATGCAAAATACATTGAAAACATACATTTCTCAATAACAATGTTTTATGAAAAGCAGAAGCATCATAAATAAATGACACAAAGAATTACTGTGTTCAAACCTTTTTTAATTACTTAACAAGAATCAGGAAATGGGGGAGGTGGGTAAGTATGAGCAGGATAGTCTAGGTCAGGCAAAGGCAACCTTCAGCCAGGGGCGTACCTAGAGCATTTGGCACCCGGGGCGGATCCTGTGCTTGGCACCCCGCCCCAAAAAACCTGTAAAAAATGTAAAGGTTCTCTTTTTTTTTTTTTACAATTTGTTACAGGCAGACAGTCACATACAGTCACAGGCAGACAGTCACACATACACATTTCCTCCGTGCGGCCAGTTTATCAGCTGTTTGCTTGTGTGAGCTGTACTGCCACAGCTCACACAGCCCCCTCCAGCCAGGGCCGGTGCAAGGATTTTTGCCGCCCTAGGCAAAAGTAAAGTTTGCCGCCCCCCATGTGACATCACAATGCCCCACCCATATGATTTGCCATGTTAACTAACGCCAGTGCTGCAGTGCCGCCGTGTTTACATTAAAAAGGCCTGCAGGGACAGGCTATAGACACCAGAACCACTACATTAAGCTGAAGTGGTTCTGGGGACTATAGTGTTTCTTTAATGTGAGGTAAATTAGAGCTTAGTGCCACGAATAATATACTAGATTGCCTACTTACAACCAGATGAGGATGATGATGGGCTCTAGCTGCGGTCTGGCTTCACTGGTCTGGTGCAGAACAGTCTCTCTGCAGGCGGTTTGTAACTGTGGTCACAAAAATCAATGTTCTGGGAGAACGGGAAGCAGCTCCATTTTTTGGGGGTCCTTTACACAGCTCAAGGTCTGGGTCCCAGGGTCCACCTTCATATTCCACCAATGAGTTTGTTCACAGGGGGTGGAGTGTGTAAGGGATGTCCTGATATGTGTGTAAGGAATGCATTATGTGAAATTGTGTTTGTATGTGTAAGGGCTGCAAGGTGTGTTTCTTTGTATGTATGGGATGCATTGAATGTGTGTAAGGGGTGCATTGAGTGTGTGTAAGGAATGCATTGTGTGTTTCTGTGTGTGTAAGGGATGCATTGTGTGTAACGGTTGCATTGCTTGTGTATGTGTGTCTGTGTGTGTAATGCATTGTGTGTTTTTCTATGTTCAAGGGGTGCATTGTGTGTATGTGATGAATGTCAATCTCTCCTCCAGCTCCAATTTCCTTCTCCTCCTCCCAATTTCTCTTTCTCACCCCCCCTCCTAATTTCTCTCCCCCCCTAATTTCTCTTTCCCCCCTCCTAATATCTCTTCCCCCCTCCTAATTTCAATTTCTCTTTCCCCCCTCCTAATATCTCTCCCTCCCTCCTAATATCTCTCCCTCCCTCCTAATTTCTCTTCCCCTCCTAATTTCTCTCTCACCCCCTCTCTCCTTTCTCACCCCCTCCTTTCTCTCCCCCCCCTCCTTTCTCTTTCTCTCCCCCCCTCCTTTCTCTTTCTCTCCCCCCTCCTTTCTCTCTCACCCCCTTTCTCCTCTTTCTCACCCTCCTCCTTTCTCACCTGCTCCTCTTCTCACTTGCTTTCTCCTTCTCACCCCCTTTCT